CTCTCTCTCTCTCTCTCTCTCTCTCTCTCTCGAAGAGGCGGTGGATCAACACGGCACCACAGCTCCCCCACGTGGCCGGTGAGGAGTACTACAACTTGAATACACATTAGTTGGATCTTGTTTTTCAGCTCACGTTTGGGTAAAATAAAATCTCTTACTTAACCTGTTGTGAACTTGCTGAAAACCGAAAACTAGATTAAACCCCTTTGGAACATGTGAGTAGCCTGAGAATTCTACCTCTTTCTTCAAATCTTTCCTTTTTGAGGCAAATGTATTCCTGGTAAAATAAGTTTTATTGCAGAAAGACACCAACATATCTCATTCAACTATTTCTAGTTTCTAAAGAAATACACAGTCATACAGGATCATTTTATGAGCCTCATGCAGCTTGTTAGTGTTCTTGTGGTGCAGAGAAACTCTGATACATTTGTATTCCGTATAGCTACCATGTGGTCAGGCCCTTTATAATATCTATGATTAAGTGTGACTGACCCCAGCAATCCGCTGATAATTGTGGTTTTTAAATTATCATCACAAAACCTTTACTAGATTTCATTTAAACGAATAAGGGAACAAATATTTTGCGTCCTGGACGTGTAGCTGAAAGACTGAAGCTTTATTTCAATTCTGACATACGTAACCAGGTCCAGCTGTTCATTCTCACCAACGACTACCTTTTTAAACCATTACCATGTTAATGATGTAGTCGGAATTGAGATGGAATACAGAAGGGGGGGGGGGGGGGGTCTCTTTGCTATTTACTCCAGAGCTTCATAGATTTCCTTTTTTTTATTTTTTAAAGCAAATGCAGCTTTTAGAAGTCATGAAGCTTTTAGAATCAACAAATTTGCATTTAGAACACGTAGTATGTTTAAACGATTTCAAGAGTTTGTCCTTTGTCCAATTTAGGAGACAGCAGAGGAGAGGAAGAGTTTGACCGTGGCTCTTGATGGTCTCGGTGCTCAACAGGCCCCACAAGGGAGCCCTGTGTTACGATCTCCTCTTATCCCCGAGCATCCTCCTGCTCATTTCACTAATGGACCAAACATGCTGATCCTGTTCAAGGCCACAGTGCTTGAGCATACGAGGCTGTAATGAACAGAACAGAGGCGGGTCCTTGAACTAACCGTGGAAGGTACCCCGGAGGTCTAACCAACCAGCTCAGGGGCCACAACAACATTTCAGTTACAGTATGTCTGACTACAGTGGCCATGTTTCAAGCAGGACAGTAATAACATCACTGTTTTGTACTCATTGCAGCTATTTTTGTGTGATCCTCTTTTCTAAGTCACTGATTACGTTTCATAGATAAAAACACATTAAAGCTGTACTAATGAACATTTTTTACATGTGCAGTTCATTCAGGTCTACTAAGCATTTTCAGCTTATTTCATTTTTTACGGCCCACAACTTTGTTTTAATTCACTCCTACATTTGGTTTTACGTCCACCTCGGGAGGAATTCTTATAACTTTGGGGATTGTTTGACTTTTCATCTGACACCATCATCAGCTAAAATGTTTTTAATGTAAAATACTTTGGTTTTGTGACCACATTCCTTCAACTGATTGCCATTAGCCTCAGCTGACTGTGCTTTGTGGTGATCAGCTAATATTAGCATGCTAGTATGCTTAGCTAAGATGGTGAACACTATACCTGCCAAATATTAGCATCTTAGCATTGTCGTTGTGGGCATGTTAGCATGCGGACATTATTTACCTCAAAACAGCTGTTCTGAAGTCTCACAGAGCTGCTTAGTCATTTTATCACATGAAAAAATTATAATTCATGTTTATTCATATTTTAAAGCTATGGTTGGTAAACTTGAGAAACTAACAAGAGTATGGTAGATTTTTTTAATTATCTCAACTGAAAAACCCAGCTATGTGATACTAACTATTTTCCAATGAAAGTAGCTAGCGGCACTAGCTCCAAAAGTTGCTCAATCCAGCAAGAAAGTTGTCAAGTCGGCAGCACTGGCCCTCTTCCCTCCAGGGCTCCCTCCAAAGCCACTCCCCCAAAATGATCACTATGATCGTTAACAATGAGCAAGGCTACTGTTCGTATTTACAGCTGTTAAGCTAGACTCCGTGAGCTTATTTTCTTTCTGTCTTTTTCAGAACATTTGATTTATTGATTGGCGTCAGGATGAAAGGAGAATTTGAAGATTACCAACCGTGCTTTGAAAGCAATTGGCTTTTTAAATGGAACTTTGTTTTGGCACAATCTGTTTCAACCTTAGAATCAATGTTACTTTCCTACTCAACAGTAGTACTACTACACCCTTTACTATTGATCACCCTTTAGACTGACTGCAATCACACACACACGTTCATCTCGTAAACCATGTTTCTATTCTTTGGTAAAGCAGGCCCAAGGGACATAATTCAGGAAAAGTTTCTTAGTGGGATTATTAACTAGTGGCTATTGGTACGTGTAGGTCGGGGAACCAGTTACACAGTGATGGCGGTTGGACAACTGAGCAGGCCATGGCCTTCCCATGAAGTCGCCATATCAAGCCAGTGAGCACTAAGCATGGATGCGATGTGGATAAAAGGCCAGGTCTAACTCTTTGCTTGGGTGTGTGTGTAGAATTTAAAGGCAGCTCAACACTCATCCTTCCCACACAAGGACTACATCCTGGGGTCTGCGGGGACCCCGGTTGGTAGGGTTAGTATGGTCAGGATAACTGAAGGGTGTTTCCAAAGCCGGATTATCCAATGGGCATTATCCAGGGGTTGATCGCACTTGGGGCCCGTCCGCCCAGCGACACAGTAAAATTTATTATTTTTAACAAGACTTCTTTTTCTCTTAAATTTCAGATCATATATAACCAATAACAAAAAAACACACCCATACATTATGTATACGCTCACATAGTCTATGAGATTGTTGACGGCCCATACTGAACCTATTGATAGGTCAAAACATCATTTTACACGAATACTGGAGTTCCATAAGCAATGCTCACCCAACTCTTGGCACATTTTACTGTGAGCTCATACCTGACAGTAAAACCCAGAACGTCATAAAATTCAGAAGTCAGCCGGAGCTAACGGAGGAAGATCGACCTTTATTTATTGAAACGGCTTGCATACAAAATATATTGCACTATAACCAGACATGTCAACCCAAACATTTTAAATGCAAGTATTATGTACAAAAGGAAACCCAAAAGAATGCCCAAAAGTGCACACAAGGTTTACAGCTTTTTTTTTGACTACCCTGGTTGAAGTATCTACAGATTATTTGCGTGTCTTCACTTTCTGGCACTCTAATGTTGAACAGCCCACAATGTGACTAGTTTACATTGGTTATAAATATTCTGCAAATATATAACGTGGACGTCGAAGCAACGCCAGTTATCTTCATATGTGGTTCCACATGAACAGAGTTGCAACCCCAACTGGACTAAAGGTTTCGTGACGGAGGGATGCCAAATGGTCATTTGGGACTCTTTTACAGTTAGAAGGATTTAACGTTATTGGAACTGAATTGGGACTCCACAATGCATTATCGCTACATGTTTGATGTATACAGTGTGGATATCGAGTCAAAATCAAGGTTTGTTGAGGAGTTTGGGTCTATAATTCAGGCAGCGGACCGCATTAGCAAGACAACCCAGAAAGCAGTGTTGCAGCTTAAAGAGTAGGAATGGAGATTAAATCACAAGCATTCCCCTTCTGCAACCCATTGGATCATGGGTAAAAATAAAATTAAAAATACACTCTGTACACCAGAACATTAGAACAGCACACATTTACAACAGTTGAATATCAATAAAAGCGAGTACCCCGCATTTTGCTGGAAAACACCATCAACATTTCGAGAGAAAAGCGGTGAACAACCCAACAACTAATGACATTGTCGACTGAAATGAAACCTTTCATTGCGTGAACAGCTGCCAAAATGTATTTTCTCTCACAGAATGTAAAGTACCGGTCATCATTTCTATAATGAAAAGTTTCACGTGAATTAACAGCGATATGTTATTTTAAAGAAGCATTACTCTTTCAAAATCCATCTCTAAGTATTATATAGGTTTGGTAGTGCCATTCTACTAGTATCAAATTAAACATAGTACTGTTCTAATGTACTGGAGACAGAGGACTGCATTGAGGACAGTGTCATGCCGAAAAAACAAACAAAAGAAAGTGCAACTAAGAAGCACCTTAACAACAGCACATCTGCGAAAAATGTCCTCAGCAGCGTTCTTCAAAGTGCTATTAGGCATCCCATGCGACCCCTTACGTTGCCAGGATGAATCAACAATGTGCACAGCTTGATCCTGGGAATTAAATTAGCGCATGCTGTTCCTCGTCTTAAAACTTTGGTTTGGGATCCCAAATGGTTTATGTTCCATGTGACCACTTTTGTAATGTTTTCAGAAGGCTAGATACGGGACCAAGACGCCACATTAACTTTTCTGCCATGATCTCGACTCATCTCAAGTTAGTTGTTTCTATGGCAGGTTACTTGAGAACAACAGGATTGGATAATGATGTAACAACCAGTCACTTATAGGAGACTCTTAAGTAAAGTCTCCTTTGTAAAAATGCTTCATTAGCACCAATTCTTTAATGACCCCAACTGGTCAGCATGCAACAGTCCTCCCTCATCTTTTTTAAATTTACATTTTCCACTATAGTACAAGCCTAGGCCCAGCATTACGGTTGGTTCAGAACCCCCCCCCCCTAAAAATCAAACCAAAGCACGAAAAGCTATTAAACTGTTTTTGTTGGTTGAATTCCAGCAGTTAAAACGTCTAACATACACTCTCAACCCGGTGTTTGGAGGCACAATAAAATACACCAACAAGCAGGTTGAGGCTCAGCCACAGATGCAAAGAAATTCATTGTCTCTGGCGTGACGCAACAGAGCGGATGTGAAGGTTGGACCTCTGTAGACTCAGTAACGTCTGTAAGTCCCGAAGGTCTGGAACACCCTCAAAACGCATCTGACTTGCATGTGGTTCTTTTTTTGTCAGTTCAAGGGCAACTGAACTGCTTTACACCAGCCAAAAAGGAAAAGGATTATAAAATGTTAATCTAAATCAAACACCTGTCATTACCCCAAAAAAAGCTGGGTCTCTATACATGATAGATGACAAGTCCAGGGGACGACCAATGACTCTTTCATCACTTTAAAATGAAAGGGAAAATCCACCATAAGACATTATTCACATAGGTTACTTCAGTTATTGTAGCAGGCAAAGCTTTCCTCAAGCTACAGTGTGGTACATAGAAGCAGACCAATATGTGCTTTCTTTACAACATTGAAAGAATTGTTACACTGTGGAAAACACAGAGCTGGATGACAACATTACAACTTCCTAAAAACAAGTTGTGTCTCATTTGTCGAATGTGCACACAATCGGAAATGTAAAAACAACAAGTTGCGGTTCTACGGAAGACTTTCGTGCTGAAAACTACCACAACTTTTTAAATTTCTGTTTGTGTTGTAAATAAACACAATAAATATGGCGTGTTCATGAGTTAGTAGCAGTATTTTAGAAACTAAGAGAACCAGGCTAGCTATTTCCCAAGATGTCTCATCTATTCCTTTAAACTTAAGTACTAACCTAAGTAATTTCAGGATTTTGATCAACACTCCATTCAAAATATGTTGACTCAAAGTCCACTTGCTTATTTTTTTTCCTGAGCTTTTAGCTGCAGCTCATAATCCTCTTCAAAATGGCCCAAGAATGGAAACTTGGTCAAGTGGAACAACAACTGAGCAATCTTCATCTCCCGAGAGGAAGGCCATGAGCTGTGGTTGAAAGCCCTCAGAAAAAGCCAGTAAGTGGACTTTGAGTGTAGTTTTTATGGAAACTGTTCCAGAGGAAACTTAAATACACATGTTGGATCTGTTGTGCTAACTGGTAGTAACAAGGAAAACTAACCCAAACTGCCACTGTAAATATGGTCACCATGTCATTCAAAGTTCCAGTGTGTTTTTATCAAGGAATTCAGTTTTAGAGTGGATTTTCTCTGTCAAATAATCACTTAACTCAACCGCTCTCTTTCAGTAATTTAACGCAGTATTAAACAGCAAAAAAAAGAAAATATTAGCAAGTGCACATTTAAAACAATAGTACAAATCTTTTCTCAGACATCATTATATACACTCCTTTTTTTTTTTTTACAATACAAAGTAACTCCATACTATTGATGCTCTATTGACAATATAGATGTTACTTTCACTTGAGCCGTTTGTCGACGCACTGCAGAGAATGATCACTGGGATTAAAAAACACAACTTGGCTGCAGTGGGAGCGGCAAGTGAGAGCAAAAGGTCCTAACAGATTAGTGAGAGAGAGGATTGACATCAATAATACTTGAGAAAAAGAAAGACGAACCCCAAAAACAAAAAAAGCCGGTTTCATGACTCATCATTTTACATAACCATTTTTCTTTTGACATCTTCTAAAAGGTAAAAGCTCCCTGTGTGTCAGAACTCATCGCCGGCTAACCTAGCTGAACTCAAGTCAAGGAGAAATCTGACAAAGATTGAAAAGAAATAAAGGTATGTATTTTAATTTAAGCGTGTCGAAAACTACTGAAAGTCCCCAAAATCCATTATAAAGATGTACATGCATCGCAACACTAGAAAGGTACACTCGTCTCTGGTTAAAGATAAGACCAGGCTCAACCTCTGAAATCTTTTCAGTTACTTTCATTCCATCAGTTGCTTTCAAAGGAGAGGGAGCTATAGGGAAGAAAGCTACACTGGGTCACACCATTTTGCATCCCAAGCTAACATAAAAAAGGGGGTTTGTATGGAGAAAAAGTCGTGTTTGACTTTGGAACAGAAGCAAAGTAGCCACTCAAAGTCATGAACTGCACTGGCCTACAAAAGCAACTGCATCCGTGTCACAGATCAATTGAACCAGGTCATGAGCGACGGGGTTTATGTTTGTTGACTGTACAAGGAAACAGCCTCAGTGATTAAACTGTATCAGGTGGTTAAAGCAGGCGGTTTCCTGGACCCACCCTTTGAGTTTAAAGGAAGTTTAGAAACACTCGATGACCAATGGGTGAATCAATGATGTCACGGCAGGAAGTAGCCATCTTTAGGCATCTGGTCCTTTATCGCCGTCTCATCATCCCTGATTTACATGTCTAGGTTGTGATACTAGCCACTATTAAAAGGCACATGTCACACAAAATATGGCGAGGTTTCTCTGAGCATCTGCAGCTTTTTAGCTATGAATCAACAGTTTTTTTCAATCCGTAAAGTACGATGGTGGAGCCAGCAGTCAGCTAGCTTAGCTTAGCATAAAGACTGGAAGCAAAGAGTAAACAGCTAGCCATAAAATCACTGTGCCTGGCCAAGAATTACATAGTTCGTACGCTATAGAATTTCAGTTTTTGTAGAGATCGAACAGAGACAATGTGTTAATTAGGAAGATATGTTAATTAGTGAGCTTTAGAAGTGCTTGTATGTGGAGTTTGGACAGAACCAGGCTAGCTGTTTCCCTGTTTACCATCTTTAGCAAAGCTAAGCTAAGCTAATCGCCTTCTGGCTCATGCTTCGTATTACTGTTCAGACGTGGGAGTTGTAACAATTTTCTCATCTAAGTTTTAGCAATAATGCCAATAAGCACATTTCCCAAAACAATTTAAAAATAAATCTGTTAGAGCACCAGAGAGAGGGAAGCTTAGACTAATCCTGAGCTACAACAACAATATGAGATTTTACCTTTTTGCGATGTCAAACCGTATTTTAATAAAATGTCGAAAAAGCCTAGGAATGCCCAGGGAAACCCCGAGAAACTTTTTTGCTTTGCTTTTTTTAAATTTTACAGTGACTTTCTCACATTTCAACCACACTTTTTCTTTTATCCAAACTAATGCTATTATCAACCTCCTTTCAATCATAAATCCACCAATACTTTCTACACGAAATTGTGTATTTGAATTTCGGGTACAATTTCAGACATTATTTTGATGGTGATGATAATGATGATGATGATCCCACTAAGGATATTCCCATGCATAAGATTTATGAAGTCAGTAACTCTGTGGTCTCGGCCGAACAGTAGGTTGGAACACCTGTTACTTTGATGTCTGAACACCTGCGCTGTTTAAACAAAGTCACTTTCAGCTATTTGATAACGTGACCGTCTCTTTGTATCAGTCTCTAGAACGAAGCAGACAAGTTTGGAGCAACGAACTGCTGTGGGAACAGAATGAACGGCCAGAAACAGCAGAGGTCACCTTACGCCATTGTGTATCCCCAAAATATATATATATTTTTTTGAAAACGCAATTAGGGTGAGAGAATCACACATGCAAGAAACATGTAAAAAACAGGAGGTAGGGGTAAGAACAGACAGTGTACAAATCTTGGAATGGAGGAGCATAAATCCAAGGCACTGAGATAAAAAGGAGCCTCGTTATGGACCAGAGAGGCAGCACCGAGACCGTGGTGAACACTTTGAGGGGATTTTACAAATAAGCCTCAGAAAACTGGACCAAATCATTCTTCATCAAACCCGACTTTATACTCTGACTAGGTTTGTCACAGTTAGGTTTAGTGAAACTGCTCTGAGTCGAAGCAAGAAGCAGAGGAAATGCACAATTCAAATCATGTATATTAAAAATGCATTGCGTGTTTTATGGTTGCGGAACAAGACCCGGTATTGTGGTTTAATGAAGATTCCGATTTATTGTATCAAAGTTAGGATTCCTCTGCCCTACCGTTAACAAAATGCAGCCGACGGGAAATAACAAAAATGAAATTAGACTAAGAGGGGCGAGCCAAGAATAAGTTGGAAAACCAGGAAGAATTGAACTTACACCAATTTTTCTGTTTGTTTATTTTGTCAAGGTATAACTCAATGAAACGTTGTTTCTTCTACAGTAATACTTCAAACAGGTTTTCTAACTGCAAAACAAACAAAAAAGGTTAAATACAAAGGTTTTCATAAATTAAAGAAAAGCTCATGTGATCAGCTGACACGAGTTCTACATTCACCATGTTGCCGCCTGAACCCTGCAACCTGATCAGGTTTGTCTGAAAGCGTCCATCCAAGAGTGCTTAGTTAAATGTAAGTGCGTGGAACTAGACAAAAGCTTACAGCCTAAGCCCTCTGTGGGAAATGTCCCACAGTTGAGGTCCAGAGGGCCTTTGTGAATCACACAAATCGTCTGTCATTTCCTACGTTCTGAACTTTTGAACAGCGTTTGTGATGATTGATCAAGGCTCCCAGTTTTACTGTGAGCGTTCTGGTGTCACTGTGGACATAAGATCTTGTGCGGGGAATTAAAAAACAAGTGTTGATGATCTTCATGCAGCCTGCTTAAAAACCTTTACATTTTTTTTTTTTTTTGTACAAAGAATCTCAGATATCAGTCAGCCCGGTGAAGACGGTTCCGAGCACGGAGGTTGCCGAACTGAACGCTTCAGCTCACGTCTCGCTATTAATGTGGATTCCCTGTCACTGTTGGCCTCGCCAGGTGTCTCTGTCACAGGTAATTAATTTTAAATATAACAGCAGTGCAAGACGTTTGGTACCCTGTTGAGAACTCTTCAGGAGTTACTATCTTTGCTTCTGTAAAAGCCTTTGAAACACTAGATTTGCATCACAGTGCCTCAGATTTATGTTTCCCCCGTTGGTACGTCTAATGCGTGGTGGGATTCATGCTTGGTCTGGAGGATTTCTACATTTTCTTAACGACGTAAAAAACTAAAACACATATGACTTAAAACGATGAGAAAAGCACCGGTTGGTAATTCCGTTGCCCGTGCACACCTGTTAACAATTCATCCTAAAACATGGACACTTTGAACTCCTCGAGTGCTGGATTTCGGAGCTATGGACCACTAAAAATAAATTCTCCACCCGTGGGAAACACCGACGCCACTAAAAGCGTGTGCCGTCAGATCATCTCTACAATTAACATCTGCAGTAAAAAAACGTCGTACAGCAGGAGGGAAGTTCCTCCCGCACGTTTTCATGCTGCTGTAATTCTGTTTCCTTGTCAACCAATTATTTTCTTTTTTCTTGTGTGAGGAGGTCCAAACAGGGCAGTGGCAAAAAAAAATAAAAATCATCCGATTTAGTTGATTTGAAAATAGAAAACAAGCAAGTTATGATTTGCCTGCGGAGGGTAGGGGAGCATGTTTTGGGGGAGTGCCTCCGTGCGAGATAAGTCAAATCCCTCCTCTTCTTCTTCTTTTCCTTTTGTCCAAAAAGTACTGGTTTTTTTTTTGGTTTTTTTTGTCCCTTTCGCGAAGAACAGGACCTGTACACTCAAGACGTCAACTGAGCGGACCAGCAGATACCGGATCGCCTCTGGTCTACGACTTCACTACGGTAAACTCCTCCGTGCTGATGAGATGTGTGTATTCACGTGTTTGACAAAGACAGAGAAAGAAAAAAAGCGAGAGAGAATCTACGATGGTTTATGACGAGTTGCCTGTGTGTGTGTGTGTGTGTGTGTCTAAACGAGAAGGTCCTCCAGTGGAGCGTCTACGACACTCCGTTCACCAGCGGAGGAACGTCCTGTTTGTCCTTCTTCATCCCTCGGTCTCTGATGGGTCTCTGATGGTGGTGGCGAGGTGGGCCATCGCCGCCGACGCCGGTGATGACGCCACCCTGGGATGAGGGTGGCCCTCCCCCACCTCTCCCCCCCAAGGAGTGCTGCACGCTGCGCTCGTTGTTACTGTCCACACGGATCTGCAGGAGAAAGGACAATACGTAAAGTTCGGTGGGGAAATATGATCAGAAGCATGATCACGGATGAGTCTGGGCTCACTTTCATCTAGCGTCTCTAGGAAGACTACATACAGTGGGGCAAAAAAGTATTTAGTTAGCAACCAATTGTGCAAGTTCTCCCACTTAAAAAGATGAGAGAGGCCTGTAATTTCATCATAGGTATACCTCAACAATGAGAGACAAAATGAGAAAAAAAAAAAAATCCCGAAAATCACAATCTGATTTTTAAAGAATTTATTTGCAAATTATGGTGGAAAATAAGTATTTGGTAAATAACAAAAGTTCATCTCAATACTTTGTTATATACCCTTTGTTGGCAATAACAGAGGTCAAACGTTTTCTGTAAGTCTTCACAAGCTTTTCACACACTGTTGCTGGTATTTTGGCCCATTCTTCCATGCAGATCTCCTCTAGAGCAGTGATGTTTTGGGGCTGTCGCTGGGCAACACGGACTTTCAACTCCCTCCACAGATTTTCTATGGGGTTGAGATCTGGAGACTGGCTAGGCCACTCCAGGACCTTGAAATGCTTCTTACGAAGCCACTCCTTCGTTGCCCGGGTGGTGTGTTTGGGATCATTGTCATGCTGAAAGACCCAGCCACGTTTCATCTTCAATGCCCTTGCTGATGGAAGGAGGTTTCTACTCAAAATCTCACGATACATGGCCCCATTCATTCTTTCCTTTACACGGATCAGTCGTCCTGGTCCCCTTGCAGAAAAACAGCCCCAAAGCATGATGTTTCCACCCCCATGCTTCACAGTAGGTATGGTGTTCTTTGGATGCAACTC